AAAGTTAGCAGAAGGAATGAAATCATAAAGATTAGATCAGAAATAAATGGAAAAGAAATGAAAGAAACAATAGCAAAGATCAATAAAACTAAAACCTGGATCTTTGAGAAGATAAACAAAATGATAAACCAGCAGCCAGACTCATCAAGAAGAAAAGGGAGAAGACTCAAATCAATAGAATCAGAAATGAAAATGGACAAGTAACAGTTGACACCGCAGAAATAGAAAGGGTCATGAGAGATTACTACAAGCAACTATATGCCCATAAAATGGACAACCTGGAAGAAATGGACACATTCATAAAAAAGCACAACCTTCTGAGACTGAACCAGGAAGAAATAGGAAATATAAACAGACCAATCACAGCACTGAAATTGAAACTGTGATTAAAAATCTTCCAACAAATGAAAGTTCAGGACCAGATGGCTTCACAGGCGAATTCTATCAAACATTTAGAGAAGAGCTAACACCTATCCTTCTCAAACTCTTCCAAAATACAGCAGAGGGAGGAACACTCCCAAACTCATTCTACGAGGCCACCATCACCCTGATACCAAAACCAGACAAAGAGGTCACAAAGAAAGAAAACTACAGGCCAATATCACTAATGAACATAGTGGCAAAAATCCTCAGCAAAATACTAGCAAACAGAATCCAACAGCACATTAAAAGGATCATACACCATGGTCAAGTGGGGTTTATCCCAGGAATGCAAGGATTCCTCAGTATATGCAAATCAATCAATGTAATACACCATATTAACAAATTGAAGGATAAAAATGATATGATCATCTGAATAGATGCAGAAAAAGCTTCTGACAAAATTCAACACCCATTTATGATAAAAACCTGCCAGAAAGCAGGCATAGAGGGAACTTACTTCAACATATTAAAGGCCATATATGACAAATCCACAGCCAACCTTGTTCTCAAAGGTGAAAAACTGAAACCATTCCCTCTAAGATCAGGAATAAGATAAGGTTGTCCACTCTCACCAGTATTATTCAACATAGTTTTGGAAGTTTTAGCCACAGCAATCAGAGAAGAAAAAGAAATAAAAGGAATCCAAATTGGCAAAGAAGTAAAGCTGTCACTATTTGCAGATGACATGATACTATACATAAAGAATCCTAAAGATGCTACTAGAAAACTACTAGAGCTAATCAATGAATTTGGTAAAGTAGCAGGATACAAAATTAATGCACAGAAATCTCTTGCATTCCTATACACTAAGGATGAAAAACCTGAAAGAGAAATTAAGGAAACATTCCCACTTACCATTGCAACAAAAAGAATAAAATACCTAGGAATAAACCTACCTAAGGAGACAAAAGACCTGTATGCAGAAAACTACAAGACACTGATGAAAGAACTTAAAGATGATACAAACAGATGGAGAGATATGCCATGTTCTTGGACTGGAAGAATCAATATTGTGAAAATGACTATACTACCCATAGCAATCTACAGATTCAATGCAATCCCTATCAAACTACTAAGGGCATTTTTCACAGAACTAGAAAAAATTTCACAATTTGTTTGGAAAAACAAAAGACCCCGAATAGCCAAAGCAATCTTGAGAAAGAAAAATGGAGCTGAAGGAATCAGGCTGCCAGACTTCAGACTATACTACAAAGCTACAGTAACCAAGTGAGTATAGTACTGGCACAAAAACAAAAATATAGATCAATGGAACAGGATAGAAAGCCCAGAGATAAACCCACGCACATATGGTCAACTAATCTATGACAAAGGAGGCAAGGATATACAATGGAGAAAAGACAGCCTCTTCAATAAGTGGTGCCGGGAAAACTGGAGAGCTACATGTAAAAGAATGAAATTAGAACACTCCCTAACACCATACACAAAAATAAACTCAAAATGGATTGAAGACCTAAATGCAAAGTCAGACACTATAAAATTCTTAGAGGAAAACATAGGCAGAACACTCTATGACATACATCAGTCCAAGATCCTTCTGACCCACCTCTTAGAGAAATGCAAATAAAAACAAAACTAAACAAATGGGACCTAATGAAACTTAACAGCTTTTGCATAGCAAAGGAAATCATAAAGAAGACGAAAATACAACCGGAGAAAATGTTTGCAAGTGAAGCAACTGCCAAAGGATTAATCTCCAAAATTTACAAGCAGCTCATGCAGCTCAATATCAAGAAACAAAACAACCCAATCCAAAAATGGGCAGAAGACCTAAATAGACATTTCTCCAAAGAAGATACACAGATTGCCAACAAACACATGAAAGGATGCTCAACATCACTAATCATTAGAGAAATGCAAATCAAAACTACAATGAGATATCAGCTCACACCAGTCAGAATGGCCATCATCAAAAAATCTACAAACAATAAATGCTGGAGGGGCTGTGGAGAAAAGCCTCTTGCACTGTTGGTGGGAATGTAGATTGATACAGCCACTATGCAGAACCGTATGGAGCTTCCTTAGAAAACTAAAAATAGAACTACCACATGACCCAGCAGTCCCACTATATACCCTGAGAAAACCATAATTCAAAAAGAGTCATGTACCACAATGGTCATTGCAGCTCTATTTACAATAGCCCAGACATCTGTCCATTGACAGATGAATGGATAAAGAAGATGTGGCACATATATACAATGGAATACTACTCAGCCATAAAAAGACACAAAATTGAGTTATTTGTAGTGAGGTGGATGGACCTCGAGTCTGTCATACAGAGTGAAGTAAGTCAGAAAGAGAAAAATAAATACCATATGTTAACACATATATATGGAATCTAAAAAAAAGTAAAAATGGTTCTGAAGAACCTAGGGGCAGGACCGGAATAAAGACACAGACATAGAGAATGTACTTGAGGACACGGAGAGGGGGAAGTGTAAGCTGGGACGAAGTGAGAGAGAGGCATCGACATATATACACTACCAAATATAAAAGTGATAGCTAGTGGGAAGCAGCCGCATAGCACAGGGAGATCAGCTGGGTGCTTTGTGACCACCGAGGGGTGGGATAGGGAGGGTGGGAGGGAGATGACAGAGGGAGGAGATATGGGGATATATGTATATGTATGGCTGATTAACTTTGTTATAAAGCAGAAACTAACACACCATTGTAGAGCAATTATACTCCATTAAAGATGTTTAAAAAATAAAAATAAAAAAAATCCCTGATGAACTTTCTGCTTACCCTGATGAATTAAATTATGACTTCATTATGCTTGTTACCCTTCAGATATAGAATTCTATCAATTACCATTCATTATTGAAGTTAATTCTTACTATATTGGGATTCTTACCAGAGAAGCATTTCAGCTCATTCTTTATTTGCCAAACAGTGCAAAACAATTTTTATTATATCAACTAGTTCTGGGCTTATGAGAATTACTATTTCTATACTACACCAGTATTCTTCTAACAATGGACTACAATGATCTCTTTCGAAAGCTGTCAAATGAATAATATGAATTTAAGCCTAATTTTTCATGATTCCAAATAGGTCATCACTGCTCAAAGATCTTTGGATTAGTTTCTTTGTTTGCCCATTAAATCCTATGTTGCATATTTTCCCCATTTTCTTCTCATCTCCATTTCCAAGCTGACTGCTCTTTCTAGAGACAAAGGATTTTATACACACTATTATTATTTAACAGTGTAATATGAGCTCTTTCAACTGTCCTTTCTAAAATATCTCTTCCCTGTTACGTAACATCTTGTCCTTTCCTAATTTTTACAACAATTAGTCCCCCCTTTCCAATACTAACTTCTTAAGCTGCATTTGCAAATACATTTCTTCTAGTCCTCAGTTTCCATTCTCACTCCTGTATTGACTCCTACTCCTCTGCCTTCCAGTACCAATAAGTCTTCCCTTGATCCTAATCTAATCAACTAGCAAGTTATCAATACCATTTACATTATGATGCTCCAAATCCTTCAAAGATTCCCTAACGTCTCTAAGTTGTTCTAACACCTTGTCAAGGCATTCAAGATCTTTACCATGCTGACCATAAATGGTTTTTCCATACTACTCCCCAGAACAATATCTTTGCTTCTGCTAGACTGACTGACTCACACTTCTCAAATAAGGTTTAATCATTACCTTCCTTGATTTTTGACAGTGCTGTGGATTTCACTTAAATGACGTTCTTTCTTCATTTGTCTGATTTTCAATGTTCAGCTCAAATTTTATCTTCTCTGTGAAGCTTCTCTTATTGCCCGAGATTACACTGAATCTGCCTTTTTCTGATTCTGTATAGTTTCCACAAACCAACTCCTAGTTTAGCATTCAATTAAAAATTATTTTTTATTTACATGTGCATCCTTTCCTTTGAATAGCCAAAATAAACAACCAGCCAACAAGCTAACATTTACTGAGCACTCACTTGTCAGCCACTCTGCTGGGCAAAGGGAACATAAGAATGAATAATGTTTATTTACTCAGAACTCTTAATACAATGCACCTTTCAGATAATAAAAAATTTTTATCAATAAAAGAGTAAAACATCACCAACAGACCTGCTGTTATAAATGACCACTATTCAAAAGATGTTGTAGAGTTGCTATATATTCAGATAATACCATGCAGACAGTCATGCAAGAACTGGAAGATTTGTGTGATCTCAATCCCAGGTGTCAATTATTTTGAAAGTAAAACCAACCATTAATTCTGAACTGACGTTTTCTAAAAGACATTTCAGTGTTCCCACTATTTCCAGTACATCTGAGAAGCAGATAGAAATCTATGATTTACAATCACATGAACAACACACTATTAACAATTACTGATATCCAAGGTATTCCAATTCCAAAAATGCATCATACAGAAGAAAATAAAAAAACACATGAATGTTAAAACTGTACAAGCAAAGAAGGAAAACAAAACAACAGCTTGAGAACACATACACATTTCTATACGTGCTGGTCATTCCACTACTTAGACATCAAAATTTTTGTATGACCCATTATTTTCAAAGCGTATATTTTAAAACTTTATGTTCTACATACCTGTCCAGTCTCCTACTATTTTAAGGTGGACCCCAAATGTTGCTTTGGTTTCAGTAGGGCACTAAAAAAATAAATAAATACTGGAGTCAATTCTGAATAATAATTATGTAGTACCAGAGTATGATTCAATTACTACTTTTATTCTCATAGCAAATCTCCAAAATCAATAAGAAATAGAAAGTAATGGACTAAAAAAAATCTATACAGATCCTCATTAGTGGGAGAAAAAAAGCAATGCCAACCAGTCAATAAGACATTATACGTTTCTCGAAAAGCCCATATTTATTATATAAAACAAAAAATACACATAGTCTAAAACGGCTAGTATATTACATCTAAGCATAAATCTTGCTTAAATATATTTTGAGTTAAAATATTTAAGAGGACACAGCTTTTAACCACGAAGGAAGAAATGGAGACTAATGATTTTGGCGTCTTTTTCTTTGCAGATATTCTTATATGATTCACATCCTAACAAATTCCGGGGAAATGAAAAAAACAATTATCAATGTGACCTGAATTTTCTGTGTCCAGTGAAGAAACTCCTACTGAAAGAGTTTTATTTCATTCCCTCCCATAATTCTCAGAAGAAATCCGGAGTAAAGTGGCAAGGGTACCTGAGGAAGGGAGCAAGCTGTGGTACTGGAGGTAAGAAAAAGTACCTGTGGTCCCATGTTTAGCAAATATAGGAAACAGCCATATAGTAAGAATGAGAGAATAATTTTTAGTTCACAATAAGAAAATGCAGTATCTCCCTTTATTTTACAGAATCCCGATCCCTTTCCACAATTCTAAAATTCAGAAATTTTCAAAAATGAGTTTTTTCAAAACACATTTGGTGGCCCTATCAGACCTGAATTGAAGGGAAGGTAATGATGGGAGGTTAATACTTCTGTATAAAAGTTCATACAGAACTATTTTCCTACAGAAATACCCATCTGTTTAAGAATGCTGCCTCATAGCCTACTAGAGATCTTAGGTAATATATTAATTATGCATACCTTTTACAACCCTCAAAATTCTGAATTCCGAAAATACATCTAGCATAAGGGTTATGGGTAAGGGATCATCTGCATGTGACTAGCCAGTGTTCATTGAATATCATGTACCAAGGGCAGGGCTAAGTGCATCATTTCTAAAAGCTCACAATAATCCTGGTGACTTGTCTTTTATAGTTAAGGAAATTGAGTAACTAAGACTTAAAAGCAACTTGTAACAACCTTTATGGGAAAAGAATTTTAAAATGAGTGGATATATATATATCTGATTCACTTTGCTATACAGCAGAAACTAACATAACATTTTAAATCAACTATACTCCAACAAAAATTTTAAAAAAGGAAAAAAAAAAATCAACTTGCCCAAGACAGAGTTTGGGTCTGGGTTTTTCTGCCTACACAGTTCGTAACTATGGCAGACCACTGTCTCCACTAAAGCAAAGATATGGAAAATGGCTAAGGATTGCATGAGAAGTCAAATGGAGTAGAGGGAAAAAAAGGATTTGTTGAAAATTAGTGGAATCAATGAACAACAACATGAATTAAGGGGAAATATGGGCTGAAGTTAAAGCACAGATGAAAGAATATGCCAGTGGCTCTGAGGGCCTTGTGATAGAGAATAGGTTACATGAAATAAGTTGAAGATCCTCAAGCTCACTATGTTGACTAATTAACGTAGGTCACATAGGGATGCTCTTAGGAAAAGAAATAAAGGAAGGTGAAGACACCACGGAGATATGTAAACAACTCATCAAAGAAGATAAGTAGCTTAGAGGTCAGTGAAAACACTAAATAAAAAGTTAGGTATTAATCATTTCTTCATGACAAATCATAAACAAACTAAAAAGCACATGTTCAGGGTTGAGATTTGTTGTAACATGGAATTTCCAAACCACTATTTCACAATCAGTGTTTCTAATAGGATTATTACTACTAACTGTAGTTTAAAACATTGAAATAAATGAAAAGAATATAAAATCATATTACTTAAATATTATTTATACTATTAAAATATTACTTCATTTATAATTCTCAATCTAACGTTTAATTATTTAATTTACATTCTCGTTTTTAATAACTCCAAGAGCAATGTTTTGTCATTAGTAAATCTCCAAATAAGATGATGTGATCTGTAAAAACCCACCATCACTTTTACTTCGTACTATCAATACTTAACGCTGGCCAGAGCCTCTATGCTGTAAAAGTTGTAGCTGCCAGAAAGCAAGAATCCCAACAGAGTTCCAAGCTACCAATCTGATTGTTCCCATGTCTCTTGATGTTTCCCTTATTGTGAACTAAATCTTAGGTTATGAAAAGAAGATTTAAGCCAAGAAGATAGAATAGGGAGCAACAAAGTTAGTCTTTGTCTGCCTGAGTGCACATCTGGCTTGAGTTAATCTTATAATGTATTCTAAAGGAAAATGTACATTTTGCCAAATATTCATATCTCTGTTCTATTCTTTCAGTGCAGACATTGTAAAAGGTAATTACATATGATGTTTAACATTCCCTCGGGCCTTGTAGGAGCCTATAAACCTCCTTCTTCAAAGTGTTGGCCAAATGTATCAGGATAGCTTTTAAGGCTGATCTGGTTCTGAACAGGTAGAACATAATATTGTTCCTCTCAAACTCTTGGGAACGATGCCTTTATAAATTACTGATACTTCCTCAAACTAGCTAGGAATTAAGAAGACAGATTTTAACAGAGTCTTTGCCCAATCATATCACCCCAGATTTGAAGGGGGCCTGCATAGAATAGCACACAGAATGACTTCACCATGTGTGGTTTGAAACAATGACTGAAAATCTTAGAATCACATTTTAGTACCTTTGCAAAAATAATGTTCAGATTCATTAAAGTTGTCTAAAGCACAGTGTAGTGATTCCTTAACGGTGTTTCACTATCTTTTTTAAAGTGTTTAGAACACTTCTCAAAGGGAAGAAATAATAAAGTATTAATATCTTTGGCTATCTTGTTTCTCTTAGAACATTAAAAATAAATATGCTAATGACAAATTTTCAGTTAAAATATGTTGTAGGACATGTAGTAAAGTTCACATTATTAAAATTAAAACAGATATTAGGGGACTTCACTGGTGGCACAGTGGTTAAGAATCCACCTGCAAACGCAGGGGACACGGGTTCGTGCACTGGTCCGGGAAGATCCCACATGCCGCGGTGCAACTAAGCCTGTGCACCACAACTACTGAGCCTGTGCTCTAGAACCTGAGAGCCACAACTACTGAGCCCACGTACCACAACTACTGAAGCTCACGCGCCTAGAGCTCGTGCTCCGCAACAAGAGAAGCCACCGCAGCGAGAAGCCCACGCACCACAATGAAGACTAGCCTCCACCCTCCACAACTAGAGAAAGCCCACGTGCAGCAATGAAGACTCAACGCAGCCATAAACAAATAAATAAATAAAATGTAAAAAAACGGATATTAGTGTTTTTCCTCTATACACAAATACATTGATGAGACTATATGATACATTGTTAAGAATATTAATTTCTGGGAAGTAAAATTGAAGACAGAGAAAATAACTCATTTCATACACATCTATTCTTAAAATTTATTATTAAGCTTTCTAATATTAATAAATTTACATACTTTAAAAGTTTAATTTAAAATATAAACATTAAAACATTCCTGAGTCTTACTTTAGTCTCACTTAAGTTTCCTAGATGAAGAGAATGGAGTTTGGCTGATATTGACCTTAAAAAGTAGCAGAATACTCATCACCTAGTTTAAGGAGAAGAAAATAGAATGAGAGAACTTGCAAGAGACCTGGAGGAATGTGTACTTTGATGTCCTTGAGAAAAACAACCTTTTCTTTCAAATTATTTGTTCAAAATGGCATTGGGTTTTTAATGTGCTCAAATGACTAATGATTTTATAACAGTCCCACAAAAATATAAACAGATATTACATAATCATCTTACATTTGAGAACAAAATGTAAAAATGATGTCACTGCACAAGAATTTATTCAGCACAGAAAATGAATTTAAAAGCCACAATGTGTTTATTTTAAATCAAGAGCTTTGCAACAATAAATAAAAATAATTCTAAAATGGATGTTACTATGTTAAATATTAAATTTTCAATGTAACAAATTTCTTAAACCAGAGAAAATGATCACAGAATATGATGTTCTTTAATCATTATTGTCAGGTCTTTATTTTTAACCCTCTTTTCCAAAGCTCTAGTTTCACATTTTCTATGCCTGCTAGATAATTTCTACTTGAAATTCACTCTAAATGTAATATTGCTGTTCTCTTCTTTCCCAAATTATCTTCTCCTTCTAATTCCCCTAGGTCTGGACATGGAACCTACATCCCACCAGAACAGAGGTTCAAATCTCAGAGTAATACCAGGTATTTCTCTTCCTGCCAGCATTCAATCAATTTTCAAGTCCTTTCAAATAATATTACCAAAGAAAACGTCTGATCACAGCAATCTCCTACTGATTAACCTTTCGTATCCTCTTATGGGAAAACACGCACATTCTTTCTTTCCTATGGTCTCTGACCGACCACATTTGTTCCAAATTCTTTCCAATTTTATATCCCATTTTTCCTCTTTGATTCACTCTAATCCAGCTAAGCCAACATGGATCAACTAATACATTTTCTTGTCTCTTCGTTTTCTCAATTACTAGTATACTCATTTAGAATGACTTCACTCCCATTTCTCATATTGGACACCGGTAATTCTTTAAGGCCCATCTCAAATGCTACCACTTTCATGAAGAAATCTTGATTTCCCAAGCTACAAAAATCCCTCTCTTCTCTGAAATTCCAAATTACTTGACTTTTATGCCCTTTATTACAGTTTACCTCTTTAATTTTGTGTAATTTTTCCAGTATCAATATACTATAAGTGTCTTGAGATCAAGAACTATTTCTAAATCATTATCATATATTCCATAGCATCTTACACTTATTGGGTATGCATTCAAATATCAGTTAATAAAATATGGGAGAATTAACCTGAGAATGAATAAGAACTTCAACAATGGGAAATTCTACAATTTATTCAAACATTCAACAAACATGTATT